ACGGCTTCTTATTTCCTACTCTTTAAGCCTTGAGTCTCTTTATTTCCGTGGCTCGGGAGTGCGCGTTACTATCCGAGTGCAATCTCGTGCATCGGGCGTAACAATATTTATATAAAATTCAGTTTGAAACATATACAAAAGAAACGATCCACTAAAATTTAACATAATTTAAACAATATATTTACCATAATTATATTATATATATTATATACCATAATTATATAACATATATTTATAAATTTAACATAATTTTTTAACATTTTCCAATAGCGATACATTTAGAGAAAAGTTTCTTCGATTAAAAAATATTTGTTTTAATCAGAGAAATGTATGCATTACTGCATAGGTTAAAGAAAACGCGATGAAAGAAATTATTCTCTAAATTGAACATCATTTCTTAAAATTAAATACATTTTTATTTTCCTCAGAGACACTTATTCACTTCAACGTAAAAAACCAACAAAAAACGATTTGTTCACTTTAGACAACTTTTCTGTAGGTGTAACTCATCGTACTGAAATCATCTTCAGTGATGCACATTTGACTCCCCGGCAACACGGAATCCAGCCCCACCACTTGTACCCCCACCAAGCAGACACCTACCGGCATCGAGTCGGCCGTCTTCGCCGCGAGAGCGAGCGAGACAGCGAGAGACAGCGCACGTTCTTCTCGCTCTACCAGTAACTCGTAAACACAAGCGAGTATTAGAGCGAAAAGGACGGCCGCTCTCTCTCGCTGTCTCGCTTTCTCTACTAGTCGCTTGTTATAAGCAACCGAAAACCGAAAATGTACTTTCTCGGGCGCTCGGCGTATTCCTGTACAGGGTATCCCTACCTTTTTTGCCAATCGCTTTTGTGTTGATAGAGCGCATTAAACTGAGTCGAAAAGTCCTCGACTATTTTGCAATTTTTTCGCAATAGTTAACAAGATAATAATTACTAAATATTGCAAAATATTAATTTTGAATAATTTTTTACTCAAATAGTATCAACTTTACAGAAAAATTGCAACAGAAAAAATTATTTATTTTCTTCTCATAAAGTACTGAGAATTTTTTCAGAATTTTTTAATACCGTATTTTCTCACGTTGATAAAAATAAGAAAATGCAGTATTAAAAAGTTGATAAAAAATTCTGAAAAAATTCTCAGAACTTTATGAGGAGAAAGTAAATAATTTTTGTCTCTTGCAGTTTTTCTGTGAAATTGATAGTATTTGAGTAAAACATTATTCAACACCAATATTTTGCTTAGTAATTAATTATTTAGTAATTAATATCTAGTTAACTATTGCGAAAATTGCAAAATGGTGAAGGACTTTTCGACTCAGTTTAATCCGCTCTATCAACACAAAAGTGATTGGCAAAAAAGATCGGGATACCCTGTACATTAATACGCCGAGCGGCCGAGAAAGTACATTTTCGGTTTTCGGTCGCTTATAACAAGCGACTAGTAGAGAAAGCGAGACAGTGAGAGAAAGCGGCCGTCCTTTTCGCTCTAATACTCGCTTGTGTTTACGAGTTACTGGTAGAGCGAAAAGGACGGGCGCTGCCTCTCGCTGTCTCGCTCGCTCTCGCGGCGAAGATGGCCGACTCGATGCCGGTAGGTGTCTGCTTGGTGGGAGTACAAGTGGTGGGGCTGGATTCCGTGTTGCCGGGGAGCCAAATGTGCGTCACTGATTGCCAGGGAGCCAAATGTGCATCACTGATCCAGGTTCTAGATTAATTAGATTAGTGTTCGGAATTAGTTGCTCATTTCGGACAGATTCCTCAGGCGACCCCCACTACCACTCGAAATTCGGCG